TGCATTTATCTTTGCAAGAAATTTCAATTAAATTCAGTAGCAATGACTAACATAAGTAACATGACTAACACGCAATAAAACCTCTCTGAAAAGAATGCTTGCCCTTCATTGAGACTCCTTTGTGACTCTTGAGTGTGGAATTCTTATAAAATCCAAGACAGGATTTGTCATGTGATATCACTGATAAGTTAATATGTCTCTCAAGCCGTCTACTGTTTTGCTTTCTAAACAGGATTTCTCTTCCAGGCTTGATACATGACGAAAAAGCAGCAGGAGGTAAAAAAACAAAAAAACAAAAACTGCTGTCAAATGTTTCCTTTTTATTTATTTCATAAAGAAGTTTCCAGTCGAGTCACACCAGCTGACATGGTTTCAGGAAAGCACAGGTGTTCATGGCACCTCTTTGCTTACTTTGAGGTCACTGGATATAGTCTCACCTGTTTCCTTTCTGTCAGAGGTTAGAAAGACAAGGTGACATTGTCCAGTTTTGCTAATTAGGAAATGACTGCAGTGTACCATGTGAAGAAGATGCCTGTCTGTCTGGTTGGGGAGAAGAATCTGCTCTCTATCAGGGGAAGATGGCTGTAGTATTTTCCAAGCAGCTCCACCCCGGCCTCACTTCGACTTGGCGTTCTGCATGCCTAGGATATGTAAGACAAAAGCCTATGTTCACAAGTGGTGAACGAACACAAAAGACCATCTTTTTTCTGTGCTACTCGATCATTATCATCTCCACTGTATTTGGTAGGTGGCAGAAATGTCAAGAATGATCTCTCATTCCACCTGTAAACTAAAATGAAGTAAACTCCGCAGCTAACTGCACAGGAAATATGTTTTTGTAGTTGACCCAGCCCATAAAAGTTCAAGTCAAAGGATTTCATGGTTTTTTCCGTGACAGACATGAATAATGGGTATATTAAACACACCTGTCGCAGGTCCATGAAGTCAGCAATCTCATCTTCAAAAGTCTTCCCGTCTTCACTATAGTGCTCCAAGATAAAGTCCTATAAAAGACAGAAAGACAAAAAAAATCAGCATGTAAATACAAGTTCTTTTTAGCATTTGGGATCTTAAGTTAAGCATACAATCTGTTGGTTACACAGTGGTTTTTCTCATACCATCACTAAATAGTACAAAGAAGACAACCCTGTGTTGTGCATGCTGGAGAGAATTTCTTTTCTCTCTGAGCCAGCCACATGTAGGAGAGGCTTGATCAAATTTAAAGCCATATTGTGAATACCCCCATTAAGGAGGATTAACTGGAAAATGTTTATATGGATGAATAACCTTTATCTTTACTGGAATACACCCTTTACTGTCAGGAGAACTTAGGTTTCTTAGAATTTATTCACGAGAGCAACTCTTTGTACTTGGAAGTTTTTTGAATAAGGCCGCAGGTCATGAAAACTGAGGCATGATTTCAGTCAAGAAGTAGAGCAGAATTAACGTGCTCGGAGATCTTTGTCAGAAAACGTCTCACGTGCCCGTCAACAATCCGAAAGAGGATACGACACAACATAAACGTGCCAACTATGACATTTACAAGCGGGCTTACCCCGTTTACAAGAGTTCAACTTGTCTTTGTAACTAGTGACCCACTTTTAGCTTTTTCCTGATCAGGTGATATCCTGGTCCTAAAGGAACATTCAGTGACATGACCTAGTAACGTAACATGGCTGCAGTCATACACGCGACAGAAAATATGACTGAAATACGTAATTCAAGGATACTTAGTTTCAAGGA